ATTTTACTTAAGATGCAAAGGTCTGTTTTCTTAATAAATTATTGAGATATTAGCAGTTTTATGATGGACGAATTTTTTTTTTTTTTTTTTAGGTTTGTGTAAAGGATTTATAGAAAGAGTTGCCCCTCATTTTTTCTGTATCATAACAATTTATACCCCTATTAATAAACCAACATTTAGTAAAAAATAAAATAAAGTTTAATAAGTAGTTAATATAAATAAATTTTAATAAATAATTTAAGGGTAGGATATTTGTAGAAGTTATATGAACTAAAATTAGCAAATTTTATTGGCTAGCTATTTTGCTGCGCCAGCCACGTTTGCTAATTCTGGTTCATGTAACTTTTACAAATACCCTACCCTTAATATAAATAAATTGTAAATAAATATTTAATTTAATAATATAAAGAAATTTATAATAAATAATTTAATATAAAGATATTTACTTTTCAACTTTTGTAATTCTTTAATTATAGGGAAAAGATAAGTATTAAGATCTTTTGGCTCTTTTGGCCCAGGTATAATTATACTAATCAAAAGAGTTTCTTTTTTAACTCAATTTTTAGGATCCAGATTTGCGTTAATTACCAATACTATCTAACAGTCATTGGTCTTTTGTCTAAATATCTGATAACCATCAATTGAAGCTACTAATGCCACATTTCGTTCATCTTGAAAGTACCCACTTTGTACTAACTCTAAATAATGAATATCATCAAAAATGTCACCTATTTGATTAGAATCCTTATATAGTTTTTGTGATACATAATTAGCTCTGTATCTCAACTCTGCTGCATGATTAGGATCTCTGTATTGAATCATAAGGTGCTGTGTGAGTGAAAAATATGCAAACTGCCAACGTGATTTCTTCATTTTTTTGTGGTAATAGTACCGATCTGACTTATAAACTGGACACTTTAATAATTTTTTGTAATTTCCAGTATATGCACAGCACGAATTCAAGCACATATCTATCCTTAGAGGTTTAATGTTTACAATTAATTTCAATGTTTTTTTGACAATATGCAAACTAATTGGCCTAGTATTAACCGCAATCATGGTATTCTGAAATGCCTCATCTGTTAAATTACATTGAATTTTTACTTTAAATAACCTTAATACGATAGCCAATTCCTCTGATATATCTAACTCTATATCTAACATTATAAATAGGGTTGTTATATAAGTTTGTTTAAACTATTACAACTTTAAAAACTATATATATATTCTAATTATACCTAAGGGTTTCTTATCCTAACTATTCTAATCTTCTTGGATATAATTAGAATAAATATATTAATAATATTCTAATTATATCCAAGAAGATTAAAATGATTAGGATAAGAAACCCTTCAGTATAATTAGAATATTATAAAAAAATAACAATATTTTTTATACTATTTGGAGAATAATCGGAATAATTATCTTCAGAGCTTTCAGAATTAAAAAAATTGTCACATTTAGAATAATCTGAATAATTATCTTCAGGGTCTTCTAAACTAAAATCATTTAAAGCACTATTGCAATCAGAAAAATCCTCCTGTATTGAATACTCTGAGTCACTACTTTCTTGTGAAATTTCACTATATATTTATTATTAAAGATTTTAATAATAGACTTGCAGCTTAGAATCCTTAATAATTAAATAAAAACTTAACTAATTATTAATTTGAACATCATTCTCATCGCTTGATGGCTCTGAAGTCTGTGATAACTCTGAATTCAATGGTTCTGAATATGTTATTGTAAACTTCTGGTAAATTCGTTGAGCTTTTATATGCCTAACTCGTGTACTTTTGCTAACCCAAGCGCCACCATAACCTTCTTCAGCACAAAAAAAGCATTTGCATTATACTTTATTTTCATGATCTGCAGTAGGTGTTAAATCAAGTTCTATTATTGAAATATCGCTTTCTTCTTCACTAAGCTCCATAATAAAGGCCACTTTTTTGTATTAAGGATTAAAATATTTTTATTTATGAATTTTAGTAAATTTGTAAAATATTTAAAGTGAAAATTTTATTTGTACATTTTATATTTATTTTAATTTAAGCTCAAGATCTTATTTGAAGTCCAACAAGTATATATAAAACCGAAAAATGGTCAAAATCATAAACTTACACTTTTTCAAATACTATATAACTTTATATTGTTAAAAAAAAAATGCCACCAACTAAACGAAAAAATAAAAATAATAATAACAAACCTTCAAATAATGGATCTCTTACTTCTAACAATGAGATTACTAATTTAAAAAATTGGTTGGAATATCTTAGAGCTGAAAACGAAAGGCTTCAGCAGTCTCAGCAACCTAACTTCATACAAAGCTTTAATAATATTCATGTTTCAAAAAAGTTCTTATTGTACTAATACTGACAAGCTTCCAAGTATTCTGAAAATGACGACGGCCCATTACCACTACAAAAAAAGCAAAAAATCTATAAAAAAGGATATGAAAGGGTTATTGATTCTAGTGATTCGGATCCAGCTAAGAATAGTGATTGTAGCGATTTTGAAAATGATTATAATAAGCAATTACCAGAACAAAAAAAGCAAAAAAGCTATAAAAAAAAAATTGAAAGATCGTTGATTCCAGTGACTTTGACATCTCTGAAATAGATAATTCAAGTGATAGACAAACTTCAAGCAATTATAAAAATAAAAGAAAATATAAAGATATTACCTCGCATGGTTCTGGAAGTGGAAACAATCAGGTGCAAAATGTTTTTTCCTTTGTGACTTAAATATTGTTTATATATGCATAAATATATATATATAAAAATATATATAATATATATAATAATATATAATATATAATAGATTATAACTAATTTTCATCCGTGGTGATATCACCTGGTATTATAAAATTTTTATTAAAAATTAAATAACTTTAAGGTTAGGGGTTAGAGTTAGCTTTAGGTTAGGGTAAAAGGTATTGTTTACATATAAAATTTGATGTTGAAAACTTTTGCTTAGAAGTCGAAGCATAGTTTTCATAATAAAATTTTGAGTTATTTGTTTTTTTTTATTTTTTCGCTTTGTTTTAGTTACGCAAGATCCGGCAATCTGATTGGTTTTACATATAACTAGGTGATATCACCCCGGGAGCAAGTTAGCAATAGTCTATATAATATATACATTATATATAATATTTATAATATATATATAATGTATATATAATATATAAATTTATATATATTTTTTTTTAGAAATTATTTACAAAAACACCAATCGCTAAACCTCCAAATCTAAGATGGTATAAGCTGTCAAAAATATTATCGATTGAGGATAAAGTTTATGCGTCATATAGGGTACTATTGTCTCATTTGTTTCATACACGGCTTTATTATTTATTTTTTTAGATATGTAAAGTTTTTTTTTTTTAGAGTGCTATGCGTGAATTTATAGTCCAAATATGAACTTCCAATACGCCTGAATATCGCAAGTTGAGTGTAACTAAAAAGTGATCATTAGTTAAAAAGATAAAATTGTTTTTGTTTTAAATAAAAATTAATGTTCATTAATCTTTTCAATTTTACTGTATATTTAACAGTATAAAGCATATAACCCTGACTTTCCAAATTGCATCAACGATTGGGCAATTAAAATGATGATGCACCGTTCAATTAATCAACAGCGTACATATATTTAGCATTATTAAATAATTTTATAAACCTTTACTTACTCAATTTTATGCTTTAAAATATAGGTAAAAAAGAATACAATACTGTAAGGAGCAAAAATTATACTAATAAATAATAATAATTATATATTATAAAATTTATATTTTGTCTTTACTAACCTTTCTATAGATATTTCATCTGATAATGATTTAAATCAAAGATGTGGTTCTGAATCAGCAACGACGGAATGCATTGAAGGTAATTTAAATTATTAAATCTATTTTTATTTTGAAAATTATATTTGATTTTACTAATGTTAAATAAATTAAATAATAAATACCAGCACAAACTGTCAAACTGTTATTAATAATAAACCAAAGACCTCAATTGCATTATGACTTAGAGAAGACATAGTTAATATGTCAAAGCCAAAAACAAAGCTCACCAAAAAATTACCAATTACCAACATAGCTCCTGAAAATATAACTCCTGAAAATATAACTCCTGAAAATGTAACTCCTGAAACTTCTAACAACATAATGGATAATCAGCAAAAAGAGACCTCAAAGAATAGACGTAGTGATTCACCAAAAGGTATATATAAATAAGAACATTGGATAACACTAACTAATTTCAGCTTCGTATTGAATCTTTGTAATATATATATAACAAATCTATTATATAGATAATCCTGTACCTCCTAGAGTTCTGAGATCTAGGAACTGCTTGTAAAATTATTAAATAAAAGAATGCGATTAGTTTCGCTTACTCCTTTCTAGCAGTAATTACAAATATTATATAATATTTAAATAATTTATAAATAAAAATTAAATAAAAGAAGTATATTAAATAAACATTAAATAGATAAATGTCGTATTGTATAAAGAAAATTTAAATAAATAAAAGCCGTATTTTAAACAATAATTACATATTTTGTAAATATTTTAATGATTGTATTTAAATAAAAATGATACATTTTATTAATAAAAAGTATAAGACAAATATTAAACAAAATGATACTTTTTTAGATATTTACTAGGAATCGGGAACCGATATAAGTCTGGAGCATTACTGTATTTGGTAATATCCCTGACTGTACTGGTAATCAATTGTTGTTTTCAAAATAGTTTTGTAATCACGCGTTACGCGGCTTGACAGACAAAAAATTTCGAAGTTACGTTATTGATATGTTAATTATAATAATTATGTTAATGCATCAAAAAGAAACGTTTGATGGTCGAAATGCATCAAAAATGTAACTTTTGTATCACTTAATGCGTAGAAATTGAGTATCTGTCGCTACGCTCCAGACAATTACATGTAAATTTGCACAAATAGTATATATTTTTGCACACAAATAGTATATATATTTAAATACAAATATTACATGATTATTTTTTATAGGGCAAGATTGTACACCAAAAGAATTTCACGTAAAAAATTAGAGGAATGATTCACAGGACCATTTAATATACACAATAAATTTAATAATAGTACATACTAATTACGAACTATAAATAATAAAGTACTCACAAAAATAGTAAATAAGGATTTATTAAAGCCATACAAAGAATTGCCAAACTGGAAACCATGGAAATTCATTCAACGTCTACATTTTATCTTCACTATAAAAAAAAACAAAAAAAAACAACTAAAATAGATCTTACTCAATGATTTAATACTCTTAAACCCTATATTTTATCTTTATTACAATATCGTCAACCTGATGAAACTATTACTATTTCTTCTACAACTATTCAAATACAAAACTCTACTTCAGTTCAACATTTTTCACACCCAAGCCAAAGTGAAAATGAAGCTCAACGAATCTACAATAATCTATATATTTATCTATTAAACCTTAACAGAGAAGAACCTAAAAATATTACTTTAAACCTCTATATCTCTGGTAATGACTTTAAACAAAAACTAGCTCATATTTGTGGTGCTATCACTCAAATACAAAAATGAACACACTCAAATGGAACCATACTTGACCTTTTCTTTAAACTTGGACAACTCTTAGAAACTCAAAATTGGCAACCCTCTGCTCGACGAGAATTATATTCATATTTTTTACCCAGAAAAGCCAGAAATGTATGGAAAATAGCCCAACAAACTCATCAACTTTTTAACACTCGAGGTTATTTATATCTTTATGCTATTCAACAAATTACCCCTTTATCTTAAATGAAATGTATCATACCGACTTTTATAATACTCTGGTACCTGAAGCCAAACATTTAAAAGACTAAACATAGATACAATTTTTAAATATTGATGAGTTTGATGACTTTGATCAGGAGGTTGAATCTAAAGAGGGAAGTGTTATAGTACCCCAAAATTTCATTGAATTTTAATATTTTTCTCTTTTCTTTTCGTTTCTCTTATTTTTTATCATATTATTATTATATTCTTATTAATATTTTATCATATTATCATTATATATTATTATCATTAGTATTACTATTTATTATTATTTATATCATATATATTAGTAATTAATGAGTAAGTATAGGGAATATTCATATTTGGAAGCTAATATCTCAAAAACAAATATAAAAACCTGTTACTGCGCATTATGAACTCCTCTATTTTGGGTTATAGAACATTTTTGTCTTAATAAGCTAGATCGATTATCATAGTAAAATTTTTAGTTATTAGTGATTTTTGATAAATGCTCTAGAACTTACTAATTAGTGTAATAAAATTTAAATTAAATGTAACATGTGATGTACCATGTAACCCTATATGTGTTACATAATAGATGGATGTTAAATTAACATACACATAGTCCCAAAACATTATAAATAGTCTCCCTTTTCTCCCTTCCTCAATTTAACTTGGAATAAGTTCTCACTTTTGATTGCTAATAATAAAATACTATTGTCTTCTTGGAAATTGGCATTTTCCTTGAGTTTTTGTTTTTTTTCTTGTTACCTTTCTTATTATTTCTTGATATCTTTAGAGTGTATAAGGTTTGGATTCCCAGAGTCTAATAGTGTTCGCTGTATTGCTTGAACTAAGTTTGGACTCCTTTGAATCTAATAAGGATATACTCCACTTTATCTGCTTTGTATTATTCTATTATAACTTTACCTTTTAAATATTACACTCTGCTTTAGTTCTTTAAATCGAACTGCTAGTTATTGCTCTCTTCTGCTGATCTTCAACATGAGCCTAGTTATACAAAAATAGAGCAATAACATTAGTCAATGATAATAATAGAGCCACTTTACATAAAAACCTTTAAATCTTATAAGTATTACATAAAGTTGACCAAACTTCCTGACTTTTATATGATTTTTTTAAAAATGCAATAACATTTTTTAGACATTTTGGTTTTGCCATAATTAACAAAACATGTGCCATACTTCTAAACTTGTAGTTTTTCAGGTAAGCATGTTTTGATAGAAGTTTATTTAATTAACTTTTTATAGTTCTAACCTTTTTACAATATTTTAATACATTCCTTTTCTGAATGCTTTGATTTTTGTTATGAGCAACAAGAATATGCAATTTTTTAAATCTAAACTTTAGTTTTTCAGTAAACAAAGTTTTGGTAAAAGTTTACTTAATTATGAACTTTTTTTGCAGTTATAATTTTTTACCACATTTTAATCCATTTTAGATACTAAATCTTTTAATTTCTAAACCCTTTAGCTCTTTGATCTGTTCCAGTACTATTAATCATCTAAATGTGGTTTATTAAAGCAACCTGATTTTTTTTATTATTTAATCTTAATGAGTTCTTCTGCATTAGAGGAGTTTGTCCTGAATTTACTAATCTGAAGGTTAATTAATATTACCATATAATTTTTAATACAGACAATAAAATTAGACCTCTTAAAATACAATGATAAGAAAATCAGAAGAGAATGTACATATTTTAAAAGTCAAATCAATAAAAGGAGTATAACTATACAACACTTTCTTGTAAATAATTAGATAATGCAGTTGAACTCCTCAATGCAATTTCAGAAAAACTATAAGAAAGATAATATTTAAGAAAGTAATACATTTAGAAATATTAAGTTTTATTAATTTAGGATATAAGATTTATAGGAGTATAGCAATATAGCTATAAGCTTACAAAGGTTTATTTACGTTTAGAAGAATATGGTTGTAATACCTATATTATACAGTACAAACGGATCTCCTTTAGTATAGGTGGGCACGCTCCCTAAGGGTGATCTTTAGTGAAGGTGGGCAAACTCCGATGAGTAT